AATGGCGTAAACCTGGGAGGTGGAGCTTGCAGTGAGCTGAGATCCGGCCACTGCGCTCCAGCCTGGGCGACAGAGCGAGACTCCGTCTCAAAAAAAAAAAAAGAAAATGCAAATATCCCTTAATTCTATTCATGTGGTCTTACCTGTCAGGGAAAAAACAAAACAAAACAAAAAATCCTTAGAGTCTCCTTTGGCTTCTCTTTCCTCAAATTATATATCCCTCATCCTGTCCATCAGCGAGGGCTCTTGACCTTTTTTTTGTTTTTGTTTTTTTGGAGACGGAGTCTCACTCTGACACCCAGGCTGGAGTACAGTGGCACGATCTCCGCTCACTTCAACCTCCACCCCCTGGTTCAAGCGATTCTTCTGCCTCAGCCTCCCGAGTAGCTGGGATTACAGGAATGCGCCACCATGCCCGGCTAACTTTTGTATTTTTAGTAGAGGCAGGTTTCACCATGTTGACCAGGCTGGTCTCATCCTGACCTCAGGTGATCCACCCACCTCAGCCTCCAAAAGTGCTGGGATTACAGGCGTGACCCACTGTGCCCAGCCTCGACCTTTCAAACATAGCCCAATCTGACCACTTCTCCCCATTCCCACTGTCCCCAGCCCATCCTAGACACCACCTTCTTCCACCTGGACCCCTACAGTGACCTCCTCATTGCACTCCTAGTGTCTCCCTTCAGTCTCCTTGTTTATTGTCCATGCAGCAGGCAGAGGATCCTGAGGACCCTAAGCCAGATCCTGTCCGTCCTTCACTCAGAACTGTCCAGTAGCTTCAGTCTCAGAGTAGAGACCCGAATTGTCATCACAGCCCACAAGGCTCTCTCTCTGTTCCTGTCGCCACCTCCTCCACACTGGCCTCCTTGCTACGCCCCAAAGCCACCCTTTCCATGATCTTTGCATTTTGCTTTTCGCTCTGATTGGAATCTCCACATGGCTCCATTCCTAATTTCATTCAGGTCTATGCTCAAATGTAATCTCATCCTAGGGATCTTTCTTGGGCTCCCTTGAAACTACCCCATGTCTCCCAGGCTGGTCAGATGTCTCCTCTGGACTCCTTTATTCCAGCCCTGCTCACTCTGGGTCATCACTGCCTGAGGACAGGTCTGTGTCCCCTATTGGACTATGAGCCCACAAGGGCGGAACTGTGCTGTGTCAGTCCTAGATGTGTTTCCAAGACTGCCCAACGTGGGTCATGCACACAGCAGGCACTCACATGATGTGCTGATAATGCTGGATAATGTGGATGAGTGAATTTTCTTTTTTTTTTTTTGAGACAGGGTCTCATACTCTGTCAGTCAAGCTGGAGTGCAGTGGCACAGTTACAGCTCACTACAGCCTCCACCTACTGGGCTCAAGCGATCCCCTCACCTCTGTCTCCTTAGTAGCTGGGACTCCAGTCGCACACCACCCATGCCCAGCTAATTTTTTTTTTTTTTTGTAGAGATGGGGTTTTGCTCCATTGCCCAGGCTGGTCTTGAACTTCTGTGCTAAAGCAGTTTTCCAGCCTCAGCCTCCCAAAGTGCTCGGATTATAGTTGTAAGCTACCGCACCTGGCTAGAAAACTTTCCTTTGGTGCATAAAAATGATAGAAAATTCAAATTTCAGTCCCAGTAAGTAAGGTTTTGTTGGAGAACAGCCATGTTCATTTGTTTCCATATTCTTTTTTTTTTTTTTGAGACGGAGTCTCGCTC